AAAGAAAGGGATTGAGTCTATTATGATAAATAAGTCATTCTGTTTACTTCGTATTGCAATACAAAATATATATTGATAACAAATACAATTAAAACACAAGATCATAAAATGTACTAAGCATCAACACTCTAACCCGGGAATAATAATGTTGTTGTACTCTCTCTTGGTATTTACTTCTTTATTAAATAGTTTAACTTGTCCGAGATTTATATTACAATATATGAATGTTGGGATATAAGCATAATGAGGCAAGTATCAGTAAATGAAGGTAACAATGTAGGTGAGGTAACCTGAGTTAGGGAACCTCAGTCAGGTAACCTGAGTAAGGGAGGTGTTGAGGCAGGGTAGCAGTGCTACCTTCCTCACTCTCCTTCCTCACTCTAACCTGCTAACACATTCAATAATTACTCATCATGGTGAGTTTGATTTTTTTTTTTTTTTTTTTTTTTTTTTTTTTTTTTTTTTTTTTTTTAATATTTCAAGTTTCTACGATGTTCTTTAATGGCCACATACACTTCTAGTATAACATATTTCTTTAGTATATGAACCACGGTGTTTTGACTTCTGACTTTCTACAGACGTTGTTAGCTTTTACACTATTGCCACTGCTGGTCCTGGAAGTTGCTGCTCAGTTTCCTCGAGCTTATCAAGTAAGTTGTAGTATCTCATAGTATTGAAATATGAATGGAGGATTATTTAAAAAAAAAAAAAAAAAAAAATTGATAATTGAATTTCAAATGCTTCAGTTTCTCTGAAGTAGGTTCCATCTTTAACTATACTTGGTCAAACCTCACTAATGCACTGAATAGTACACTTAAAAACTTAAACATTTTTTATTTTTAGTTTTCTTTTTCCTCCAGGATTTTATTCCCGCACCAGGACTGCCCATCAACATTGCCTCAAATCAAATTCCTCCTGCGAGAAACTTAAACTTTATTCCCGAGAACAATGTACCAAATCCTCAGTTCGGTCAAGAAATATTTCCTCCAAGATTTGGTGTGAACCTTGGTATAACACGTCATGATCAAATTGGTTCTCTTAGTAAAAATTTTGGTAGTGGACAAACACTTCCTTCTAATCTGGACCAGAACATACGTCCAGCCTTCAGCCCAAATATTTTTACTAATGTTGGTCATCTTGAAAGTTTCAGTGGTACTGGCCCAGTCGTAGGTGCTAATTTTGGCCAAGGTTTAGGCGCTGGTCTACCCGGTACCCAACCCTTCCGCCAGGGTAATACAGGAGTTCCCCAATTTCAAATACCCAGCAACAGAGTAGACACAAATATTGGTGGAAGACCTGTCCTCGGCAGTCTGGTGAACAGGGTGGATACCTTTTTGAACCCAACTGTAACTAGTATTGTCACTATCGACCGCTTCGTTACCTTCACCGATACAGCATTCAACAGTGTAGCTGTAACTTTGACTTCCTTAGTTGTGCAAACTGTCGCAACTGGAACGAGACTGGTAAATTTTTTTTTTTTTTTTTTTTTTTTTTTTTTCTTCTCTATCAGTTTTATGCTGTATAGCCCTTGTGGTTTAGCGCTTCTTTTTGATTATAATAGTTTTACGTAGCTAGCTTAATTTAGCACCTAATGCTTCAATACTTTACAGGTACTAAGCACTCCCATTAATGACCGCATCGCCCTACAAACATCAGTAGTTCTCCGGCCTTCATCGGTCACGCTTACTGAAGTGAAATCAGACTTCAGAATCGCTACGGAAGTGTCAATAGATCGCGTAACAATAACCCACACCTCCTACGTCATTAAGCAGTTTACATACACCACCACTGCCACTCGGATGTATGTAATAGTGGGTTCGGTTTTGCAAATTTAAATTTTAATGCTCGACTAAGAATTATCACTAATTTTGCTTTCATCTTTCAGACAAACTTACACATCAACATTGGTGCGGACGAATGTAAATACAGAAAGGAACACTATCACAAATTACCTTACTGTGACTGACACGATATATATCCAGAGAGGCTACGGATCTCTTCCCTAAAGGAACCTGCTGTTTACTTTATTCCCATTTATAAAAATAGTTTAGTAAAGCTGTGACTTTTATTTTCACGGGTTATACTTTAGTTTCCAGGTGACTTTATTACTTTTGTGGTCCATTATTCATAGATGTATTGACGCACTTTCCTCCAGGCCCGAGGGACGGTACCACAACAGCTGCAAGAAAGTTAACTGTACTAGGGAGGAATATTAACAACCCATTCCTCCCAAGAAACCTTTATCCTTGAAAGTTGGGCTCCCCATGAAGGGCCCCTGGGCAAAGGTACTGGACACCCCTTCCCTGGGATCAAGCCCGAGAACTTTACTCCAAGCATTAACTCCTATGGTAGTTGGCGCCTCTGTTCGTTAATTTTTTGTGAATTACTAAGACTTTTTAATTGTATTAGTGCTGGAGGCTTGACTTCACGATGATTGCTTAAATTTCCAGGTAACTTTAAGACACTGCACTTAAGTGTTCAGCACTTTCCCATTAGTTTTACAATTTAAGACCCTTTTAGGGTAGAATTTCCTTAAGGAACATGGTTACTTTTACTTATTATTTTGTTTAAAGTGTAATGCAGTAGACCTCGATAGTTCTTGGACTTTGGTTGTCCATTCATCCATTTACTAAGGGTACACTGAACTCTAGTATTTGTGTCTGTAATTTTAAGTTTAACCCCTCTTTGACGAAAGCTGTAGTGAAAAGTTTGAAAAATGTTATCACCTTATTGTAAAGCCTGTACTAGGAATTAGTAATAAAACACACACACACACACACACACACACACACACACACGCACACCCGTGAAGACTTCCCTTCTGCACCTCGTCCCCTTTCCCCCTTTCCCTGCACCTAGTGGACCAGTCGCTCTTGGTTTGCCACTTGGCATTAGTCTTGTGCTCCTCTTCCGGGGAGGCAGTTGGTTTATGCAGCCAGATGTCATTCCTAGGACTTGCTTCCCTCCCCACCTTTTATATAGCAAGAGTCACGTTAATCTGGGATTTACCCAAAAGCCCTTAAAAAAGAAAAATTTTGCTTTTTCAAAAAAATTTTCCCCTTTCATTATAAACTGGTCCTTTTTCAAGGGGGGAGGGGGCACCTTTGTGCGTGAAAACATTTGGTCGAGGATTTAGATTGTCCCCCCCCCCCCTCCCCTGCATGTATACCTTTACATTTTTTTTTTTTTTTTTTTTTTTTTTTCTCCCCCCCCCTTTTTCCAAGGCTAACCAATTTCCTTCATCCTCCTTTCCCTTTTTTTTTTCCCTTTGGTACTAATTTTTGCTTAATTGGGGGGGGGTGTAAATTTTCCCTCTCCTGAGTTGCCATGGATTTTAAGATGTCGCACTTCCCCCCCAGAGTTCCTGGGGGGGTAAGGGGTCCTTTGGGTCATTGGGGTATCAACTGAGGCTGCCTCTTTCGTCTGCAAGGGGGCCCCTGGATGAGAGGTTGCGTCCTGGTTTACTGGCATGAAGGGTTTGAAAAAGGGGAAGGTTGAAAATTAACGCATTGAGGGTAGGTGGGGGGGGCCACTTGGGTGAAGAGGGGGTTTTCTTGTTGTTCCCGAAGTTTTCCCCCACATAAACCCCCCCCCCCTCCACCCCTTTGACTTTTCATTAAAACTTTGAAAATGATTTGCCTCCAAGCTTTCCTACGTATTTTACAGCCCAGGCACTCCTTTAATTTTCTTCTGACCTTCCAACCCAGTACCCCCCCCGGGTTGTGTAACCCTTTGGTACCCGATTTTGGACCCTTTACCTTTTACTAGACTCGTTCTCCCCGAGTTTTTTTTTGATCGTACCAAGACTGGGCGGTCCCTTCTAAAATTCCATCCAAACTACCCCGCCTGTCACTAATGACCCCCCCCCGCCCCGGTTTTTTTACTTTCCCAAATAAGCAATTCCTCCCATGTGCTCTTTTTAGTCCTTGGGGAAATTCATTATTCAACCAAACCTCTTCAAGGGGGGGTCTTGGGTGGGGTAGAAAAGGGGTTTGGTTGAGGGAAATTTGACCCCGGGTCTCCTTCCTCAACCAACCAATTACCCCCCCCCCCCCCCTTTCCCACTTCCCTTTTTTTCCCTTTTCCCCTCCCCCCCTTTTTGCCCTTTCCCCTGTGGGCCCTTAAAGGTTTTTTTCCCCCAGGTGCACTGGTTCCTAGGTTTGGGGGAAAGGGGACCGAGGGGCCCCTCCCCTTCCGTTGGGTTCTTGGCCGGTGGATAGTTTACCGTGGAATTTGGATCGCCTGGGATGTCCCGATCTCTCCAGTATCCAGAGGGTGGTTTTGGGTGTCTTTAAAAGGAACTAGTGTATCTCTGGAAGCCCCTTTTCGGTTTGGGGGGGGGGGGGGGTGTTGGCCAAGGATGATGTTAGTGGCGGAATCGGCCGCCCTTCTTGTCCAGAGGTAGCCGGCAGATGTGAGGTTTCATCCGGATTGCTGCCCTACTGGCTAAAAGGTGGGGGATGGAGGGGTTAATGTTGCTTTGCGCAACTTGCGGTGGTGGGGTGCTTTTGGGGTGCAGAGATTTCTGGCCTTTCATTCCTCCTTGGAACTATCCCCCCCCGGGTTCCCCCCTTTTATATTTTTTTTTAAAAGTACCAAACCATTGAGTCCCCAATCCATGCCCTCGTCCCCCCGGGCCCCTTATTGTTACGCCCATTCTGCCCTGCCTATTTTTTGGCCCACTTTTCAAAACCCTCCAAAGGCCCCTGTACGTCTTGCTGGGTTTCGCCCCCGTTCAGGTGCGGGATTTCACTGACCCCTTCAATTTGTCGGGCCTTGCTCTCCTTTGCTTTGCTTCGGGCCCTTTCCTCAATGGTTGGCGATTTTTTAATCTGCCTGTCCCGTCGGACCAACTCTGGCCCCCACTTCTAAAGGCCAAAAACAATCTCCTGTGTTACTTTCCCTTTACTCGGGAAAAGATTTCATCATGCACTCCCTCTCCACACTTTTTCGGACCCCACTGGACTAAATTTTTAAAGTTTTACTGTATTTTTCCAACCATATTTTAGCAAAGTTTTCCATGCCATGTTGGGAGATATTTCCCTTTCTCTCTTAAGCGGGGATGGCTTATCAGTCCCGATGCTACCCAAGTCGTGATCTTTCTTTCCCAATCGATACTATTTCCTTTCACTATCAAAGAACATTCCCTCAATTTTGTAGTGGTATTTATTTTGCCCTATACCATAGTTAACGGGGAAATTTCCCAGAGTGGCAGACATTTTCGAACAGCGGAACTCGAAGATCTCTCGAGTCTCAAGGTAGAACTTATGTTCTTTGCCAGCAGGCGGAGTGATACCCCTTTCATTGTGGGTGTTTAAACTTTTTACAGCCCTGAACTCGTGTTTTTTGTAGGGCATTGGTTACAAGTTCGAAGGTGATCCCTACACGCAAAGTGTAGAATTGTGGAAATTGGACCCAGAAAATATTGCAGATCTATAGCGAATGACCCCGTCTGGTGCCGTGACCCTTTAATAGGTCTTGCAGTCGCCTCCCCCTTGCCTTAATTGTCTGATGCTTGTCGTTGCCAGGGCACTTGAGAGGAAATTCGTTGCCTCAGAGGCAGGTGGTCTCCCTCATGCTATGGCAGTTTCTCATCTCTTTTCCAAGGGAGGCTACCCTGGTTTATTCTCGTGGTTTCAAAATTCCCCCCCCCCTTCTGGGGCCCCATTTTCTGCAGTTGCCAGTCCCATAGTCACTCCTGTCTAATTCTTTTGCTGTCCTGGGCTCAGACGTCCCTACTTCAACACTTCAGTCTGTTCTCACTTTGTGTTCTCCCTCACAAACCCTAGTATCGACAAGACCTCGTACGACACCTCCCAATCGACCCTCTACTTCTCGGTCAAAAAAAAAAAAAAAAAAAAAAAAAAAATCCTTTAACCCCCCCTTCCCTTCATCCACCTCCACATTTTACCTTCCCAGTCTCTGTACCTGGGTCTTCCCCTTTCACTGGCTGTTACATGTGTGAAGGTTCCTCATACTGTGCCTTCCTCCCCTGTCCCCTCCCAAGTTCTTCCACTTCTGCCACTTCCCAGGTTTCTGCCTCTTCTGTCCCCTCCCACACTTCTCTGGTTCCCTCCACCCTTTGGCCCCACCCCCTACCTTGGTACAGTCCATTAGTTCTGATTTTTACTCACTCCTCCTTCCATCTCCAATATTCTCCCATACAACGTCTCTGAACTCCAAACATTTTAAAGCAATCTCTAAATAATTGCAAGAGACCAAACCATCAATGGACACTGATCCACCCTCTAACTTCTTTCTCTTCTCCATCGTGCAACTCTTTTCTTTCAGAGCACACCTTTCCTTCACTGCTTGAAAAGTTTTCCGCTTGCCACCGCATGTGAACTTTTCTAACCCCTCTAGTCTGTAAGTACCCTTACCTGCGGATTTCTGGTATTTTTATTATTGCCGTCATGGCCTATTTTAGTGGAATATACGTGGCCTCGGGTAATCTGGGTGAGCTTTTAGGGCGTTGCTCTCCCCAAATTTTCCCTGTTGGTGTGTGCTTACAAGGACCAAAATTACTCTGACTGTTATCTATTCCATCTCAGGCTATAATTTATTGTATTCTTTGGATCCTTTTCCTGATGGGACCTTTAACGAAAGTGCCCTTCTACGCACTGATATTCCATACCATCAGCTATTTGTTCGTACTTCGCTGCATTACACAGAAGCCCGTATCCACTGCATAGGTGGTATCCCATTTGTTCTTTGTCTCTCCTTCTCGAGCATTATCTATTCAGATATTGCCTTGTTTCGTTCATTACACCCCCCCCTTCTTTTCCTTGGCTATTTTAATGCCCATCATTTCCTCTGGGGGGGGGGGTCTCACTGATTCCTGTGGCATTCAGCTAGAGGCTTTTCTTGCTTCCCACCGACTCCATGCTTTAAATACAGGTACTCGCACCCTTTTTTGATCCTTTACTCTCTTGCATCCATCTGTCTGCTCTTCCCCCACTGCACTAGACTTCACCTGGTCTGTTCTCCCGATTTAAAATGACAGCGATCATTTCCAATCATTCTTACTTCCCCTTAAATATTCACCACCTCTTCGT